CTACAATACTACAGCGAGAATAAAAGTTACACCTTCTTTCTTTGCGTGAACATTTGGGCGGTGTTATGCAAATCTTCCCACATCGTGACTTAGGTATGTGGGGGCGTGTTAGAACGAGCCGTTTTAGGTAGGCGTGGTTAACTCTTAACTTTTATAAAGAATATCTCTTTGGATTTGAGAGTTTAGTCTTTGCAACTTTACAGATCTTCTTTATGCACCAAGAGCTTGTAACACTCCAAAGAGAAAGGAAAAATTGAAATCGCATCATATGACCACTTTAATTTAAATTGTCTTACAAAATTACTTTATATTATTTAATAAAAATAAATAATTATTACAAAGCATTTTCGGTTTCGGTTTTCAACCAAGCACATCCAGAATTCTCGGTTTCGGCCCAGAATTTTCATTTCGGTGCATCCCTACCATTTACTGTAACTACATACAGAGCACTGTGTTTGCAACCACATGCTCCTTTAAAGGATTACACACACACACACACACACCAGTATGTAGAGAGACATTTAAGAGGGTTTATTCTCCAAATAACTTTAAATTCATGTTGCTGAAAAATGTGTTAATAAATGTTATGTGTATGGACTCTTATTTTTGTTCCACGTTAGCTTCCTGCCCAATAATTTTTGCCTCTTACAAAAGCCACAAAGCCTTCTAAAAAGACATTAAAGGCTTATGTCATGCCTGAGCTGTAGTTAGGCTGAAACTTGAAAGTTAAGTTGCACAATGTTTAGGTTTTTTTTTTTTTTTTAATTACTATTATTCTGATTTATGTCTTAGTTTTTGGTTGTACTGTTTACCTTTTTTAAAGTAATTTGAAATTGATTTTTATATTTTTATATATTTGTATTTGCATTTTGAATGTAATATGGCAATTAAATGCACTAAATGGGTTTAGTTTTCACAGTTATTAATATATGCAATTTCAGCAATAAAAATGTTCATTTTTCTAAAGAGGAAACAAATTACTTGTTCATTTTAAGAGACCGGTCTTATTTTCTCTTGTATATTTAGTATTGCTCTTTAATAAAGAAAAAGTTATTCTTATCCGATTAATCGATGGAATTTTCGGTAGAATACTCGATTACTAATATATTCAATAGCTTCAGCCCTACATAACACTATCATAATGTTTTAAATATATGAAGTTAGAAGAATACAGCAACAATATGAAAGTAAAACAGCCAGCAGGTGGCGGCAAGTATCTTTAGAGTAAGACATTAAATCATTAATTCAAATGGCAGATTCATTCAGTGAGGAATAAAGTGAATCATTCAATATAAGGCTGTTGCGTGTTGCTTGTAGGACACTGTTCTGTCTCACCCCACTCTTCTTGTCAGTCAGCTGGACTCACTCTCCTGGATAAATGAAATCTGATCTGTGATGCGACTGTCGTTCGGCATGCTGCATTGAGCAGCCGCGTTCAGTTTTTAAGTGTAGTGTCTGTTCTTTTACTGAACTAAATAATTTTTATTACTATAAAATAGGGGTGTGATGAGATCTCGTGGCACGAGATCTCGCGAGATCCAATGTGTCTCGCGAGTACGTGACGATATCCTCGCACAGACCTTTCAGATATATTTGCATTACACTGGCTCGTTCACAAGTGGTGCAGGGCTCGCAAAATTTCAAAATCCCTGGTAGCCCTTCGGGCAGGCATTCTTCAGATTTTGGTAGCCCAAAAATGAATTTAACTAGCCCGAATAAAAGATATTGTATTTTTTCTTCAAATAACAAGTCAAGAGAGTAGAGGTGCAACGGATCACAAATCTCATGGTTCGGATTATATTA